ATGCTCTGGGCATCGGTGACTAGATCACCTTTGGGAGTTCTACAAGAGTATGCTCCGGTCTTGAAACCTTCTGTAAGCCGCCGCATTTTTTTCTAGAATTTTCGAGCATTACCCCTGTCGGCCTGCTTATCAAGCTCTTCGTATTCACGCATTTCGGCTTCTTTCTTTTTCTGTCTGCCAATGCCTCTCGCTTGCCTCTTCAACTCTCGGTATCTATCCCATCCCGCACGTGTTGTGGTCGATCGTAACGTTGCGAGGTAGGCAGCCTGTTTTCTCTCCGCTGCGACATGGCACTCCTCGTCGTATCAGCTGTTCTTTTGCACTTTCCAAAAACCAAAGGTTTCGGTTGCAGCTGTACGTAGGGAGTTTGAAATGCCGTCCCACAGTTCCCTTATACCGAGTTGTTGACGTTCCAAGCACTCATAAAAGGCATCCTTGCTCACATCGTCGTTCTCTTCCGTCGGGGCGTGGGCGCAAATCAGCGATATATTGAAGAACCTCGATTTAATGGGGATTGTGGCTAGACGTTCATTCACCGGAATGAATGATAGTACTCGGCGACGGAGTCTCTCTCCCACCACGTATCCCACACCAAACTTGCGCTCCTTTATATGGCMACTGTAGTAAATGCCACAAGGACCTACTCGTCTCTGTCCTTGTCCCGTCCATCGCATTTTTTGGACGGCGGTGATGTCAGCCTTTATTTTTACGAGGACATCAACAAGCTGCGCAACGGTACCTTCCCAATTAAGGGACCGGACATTCCAGGTGCATGCCTTCAATTCGTAGTCCTTATTTCGTTTGCCATGGTCGTCATCAAAAAGTGGGGTCTCTCATCCGAGGCTGTTGTTGCGTTTTCATTGGGGGTGTTTTTTTTTTTAAGTGGCGGGTCCCAAACCCAGCGCATAACCCTATGCAGGGGATATTTCGCCTTCTCRCTTTAGCTGTTGTTCTTAGGCTACCGAGAGGATACTTGGTCAAGGACCGGAAGTCGTGAGCTGCTTGAGTCATATGTAAAAGAATCGTTTCTGGCCACTCCCAAGTGAATGGCGATCAAAGAACTTTCCTCACTTGCGTGAACCGTAGTAAAATAAAAGAAGAATCTTGACTAAGAAAAGTATGTAAGGAATATTTAACAATTTCCCGCAACAAAGCTTTTGACTTTAACTAAAGTTTCTAATATCAATATATTATTTACATTAAATATGTATGTGTACATAATTGATTTACATTATTCTTTTCCTATTATTGAATATCGAATTATGCACAGTGTTGCACGTTAAAAAAAGTCAACCAGCGTAGTTATTTTAATTAATGAACATAAGAGCGATTCGAACAGTATCTTCAGTTCCAGAGGTCATAGGCGCGTGAAGCACTAATTTAATTTTAATTGGTGGGTCAAAAAAAAGTCGACCGTATTTATTGTCATTGAAGAAACTACATGCTGTTTAGTGCTGAACAAAGGGCATATGTAAGTATATTAGTAATCGCAGTATAAAGGCGTTTGCATAATTTCTAATTATTTCACTTAAATATGTATGTACATATATAAGTGCATACTTGTATGAATGTCTGAAATTACGTGCAGTATTTCAGCAGAAGGGTTCTTTCAAATGAGTTTACTTACATATATACATAGATACCTACATAGTACATACATAAATCACACATCAACATTTTCCCAAGTTAAGTTGTACTTATTTGGTGAAAGAACCTGCCTCTCACACAATAAGAACTTCTTCTTTCTACATCATAAATTTTTGTCTTCGTATTAACTTTGTAAACATTATTATTCTTTTAATTAAATTTCTTCCTACGAGACTTACTTGGRTATTGGGCTAAAACAATTTGATTGATTGAGACATTGAGTCATATGTAAAAAAGTTAATTGCTTTATTTAACCATTTAGTTAACCATCAAACTTGAATTACTTGATTTTCTAAATTAAGATCATTTAAATTATCGTTTTTAATAGCACACTTACCTAGAATATATGTATATAGTACTATATGGGTCACGTGCAGTCCGTAAATCTCCCGGGCCCGGAGTTCTAAGGAGAGTCCGAGCTCTGTAAATACTTATTTCCCCTAACAATTCGCAACAATGCCATTATGAGTTAATAACATAAAAMTTCAATATCATTAATTAACAATACTTACATGTAATGTTATAGTTTAAAATCTTCTCAGCGGTCAACGTCAAGGTTAAAAAATCAATTTCAGATCTGCATCAATGTCTCTTCCGGACGCATTATCCGATCAATATCAATTATCATAAGGCACGTGTATGTTATGTATGCCACCGAAAACATGTTATCTCCACAAAAAAAACAATAGTTTGATAGGAAATTTATATTTTTAAAAATAAAAAAAATTCAGGTTCTATCCAGCGTATTGTATGAAAGATTAAAGCCCGCCGTCACCAAACTGATTGGAGCTGTGGCTTTAGACCTGGAAAATCAATAACCCGGCCTTTATGCCGCGATGTCTGAATTTGGTATGCCCGCAAAACTAATACGGCTGTATAAACTGACGTTGAGCAGCACCAAAAGCTCCGTCAGAATCGGGAAGGACCTCTCCGAGCCGTTCGATACCAAACGAGGTTTCAGACAAGGCGACTCCCTATCGTGCGACTTTTTCAACCTGCTGCTGGAGAAAACAGTTCGAGCTGCAGAACTTAATCGAGCAGGTACAATCTTTTATAAGAGTGTACAGCTGCTGGCGTATGCCGATGATATTGATATCATCGGCCTCAACACCCGCGCCGTCAGTTCTGCTTTCTCCAGACTGGACAAGGAAGCAAAACAAATGGGTCTGGCAGTGAACGAGGGCAAGACGAAATGTCTCCTGTCATTAAACAAACAGTCGTCGCACTCGCGACTTGGCACTCACGTCACTGTTGACAGTCATAACTTTGAAGTCGTAGATAATTTCGTATATCTTGGAACCAGCGTAAACACCAGCAATATTGTCAGCCTGGAAATCCAACGCAGGATATCTCTTGCCAACAGGTGTTACTTCGGACTGAGTAGGCAATTGAGAAGCAAAGTCCTCTCTCGACAAACAAAAACCAAACTCTATAAGTCACTCATAATTCCCGTCCTCCTATATGGTGCATAGGCTTGGACGATGACAACAACAGATGAGTCGGCGTTGCGAGTTTTCGAGAGAAAAGTTCTGCGAAAGATTTATGGTCCTTTGCGCGTTGGCCACGGCGAATATCGCATTCGATGGAACGATGAGCTGTACGAGATATATGACGACATTGACATAGTTCAGCGAATTAAAAGACAGCGGCTACGCTGGCTAGGTCATGTTGTCCGAATGGACGAAAACACTCCAGCTCTGAAAGTATTCGGCGCAGTACCCGCCGSGGGAAGCAGAGGAAGAGGAAGACCTCCACTCCGTTGGATGGACCAAGTGGAGAAGGACCTGACTACGCTTGGAATATCCAATTGACGCCACGTAGCGAAAAGAAGAAAAAAATCAATATTTCTGAGTGAATTTGTGGAATTGTAAACAAAGAAAAACATATTTTAGAATATGTTAACAATACGCTATCGAGCCCTACAATACGTWAACCCTCAGTGCTTCAAAAAAAACACTTCACAAATTATTTTTATTACAACGCAGCGATAATTACCCGATCAACGGATTAATTTAAATAAAAAAAGCTAAGGAATTAAGCAAGCGCAACTTAATGTTTTTTGTTAACCATGGGTGGGGTTATTTCCATCGTAAGGGAAAAATTTGACGGAGCTTGGAGGCCGTTCAAAACTAAGATATAAGCTAAATATTTGAATTGAAACATTATGTAATAAGTTTGGTAAGCGTCATCTCGTTTTCGCGATTTTATCTCTAGCAAATGCCAAGGAATTGTCAGAACCCGTAGCAGTTAAAAAAATATTTTAAAGTACATACAAGTATTTCTAAGTGCATGATAACCAGTTGGAGAGCCAAGCATTAATAATCTGAAAGTTTTCAATGTTGGTTAATGTGAGAGGAAGCCATAAACGAACTGAGTACTAAGCGTACACTCAGAGGAGAGTGCTAAGTTCAATCAGCAAGCACTGCAACTTAGCATTAGCAACTGAGAGTAGCAAAGAAAAACAATTAGGCAAATACATATATGGCAGTGTTATAACCAGCTATTCAGTTGGAAATTACTCGCGTCAAACGACAGTAGAGCTTGTAAGTAAAACGTTAACGTGTCTAATTTATTTGGTAGTTTGCGACTTTTTTATTAAAATATAATTTGATTGCGAAAAGTTAAAAATTATTGAATTAAATTTCACTGAAATATTGAATAAACAACGGTATGCCTCTATAAGGTATCGAAACGGTGAATAATTTTCTACAATATCAAACACATACCAAAAATAGTAACAAAGTCTTTGTGTTAACAAAACTGCGCTATGTGTATGGAATAGTGGCTAGTGAGAGTGCGTTGCGTGTGAATACATATAATATTTATATGAATTGGTCTGTGTGAATTGACGTTATAAACATATGGAAATAAAGTTGTGTTACCAGTGAATATAGTCAACCCTTTTCATGGAATGTTGTAACTTTTGGTTCATCGCGTTGGCCAATACACCGTGGCGACGTCGATGCTGCTGTTAGCAAGAATCAAACAAGTGGGACTCAGTGCATTACTAACAGCGCTGCCCAAGCGATCGCAGTCGTGAATTTAAATGTGTCACAGTTTGTGTATGTGATTGTGCTTTTGTAATTCGTAATGTTAAACTTAAAGAAAACGCTGTCAACAAAGGCGATTTTAACGCTATTTTGGGCGTTGCCGCAAATGCTTACGGTGCTCCGGTTCTACAATTTCGCTTGAAACAGAGGTAACTCTTTTATTAACACATATGTACACACACACATCTGCACATGCGTGATCGAAACAACTAGTTTATAGTTTTGAAAAAATTGTTATCATTAATACAAGTGGTCTGTACCACCACTTCGTAAAGAAAGTATATTAAGTGAGTGAATAAACATCCATTACTTTATTTTGTTTAATGGCGAAGTCTAGAAGTATTTGTAAAGTAAAGATAAACCTTAAAGCTATAAAGGTGTATGCACATTCATATGAATGTTTAAATGAATATATCAGTATGTTGACAATGCTAATTCCCAACACAACTGCGATTGATATACGGCAGCGAAGTTGTGAACCATAGACAGCGGCAACATGTTCACTATTTGTATGGCACATTGTACACATATGTACTATATAAGTACATGCATACATACATTTGTTACACTTATATATAAATAAATACATGTCAAAATGGAAATTATTTCAATAATTAATTATTTAGCAAATTAAAGTTACACCAATTAATTTATATGAACACAATATCCGTATAAATTAGGCATAAACGTTCGCAGGTGTAATAGTCTTTCCAAATATAAATGTACTGAACTAATTCACTACATACTGTTTCAGATTTGTAAACTCTTACAATATGCTGCACAGATTATCAAAATTCTGCGTACCTAACGAGTGTTCTTAACAATTTTAACTATCCTAGATGATTATATATTCCGGTCCGTTAATCCAGGAAGTTGATATACATACATACATATAAACTAAACTCGCTTTGAACATGAATTTCTGGCACTTTCTTTTAATAATAATACTCGAATTAATTCAAATAAATTGGGAGCATAACATTTTATAAATACTTTTATGTCAGAGTTTGTAAATAGTCCAAATCAAACCACAAACGATTTACTACCCATTTAACACAATACTAAATCCCTTGAGATTCTTTTACTTTACAGCATATAAATCTTCCATAAATAGTGCCTTAAAGGTATCTCTCATCTAAAAATGGTCGTGACCGATACATAACGATTCTAACCATACCGGCAGTATCGTTCTTACCAATATTCAGAGAGAATTTCTATGTAAAAATAATGTACCCGGGATAAAAAGCTCTCATACTTCACCCAACTCGCATATAACTAATATAAGAATTTTCAAGCTTCCGAAAAAGAAGGAATCGATCTTCACATTACCACAGTTTCACTATACATATTTACTTGCGTCATTTCAGCATAGCATATTAGGGCGTTTATATAGACCCATATGGTTGCTATTTAATTGGAAATGTATTGGCATATCGGTATAAATCTTGGTCTAAATATCATATCCCTAATATATACTTAATAATACTTCAAGATTCTCTGCTTGACTTTCTGCCAATGTACCGAATATTTGAGTTCGCAGCACTCAGCTCTTTCTTACATGTGTCTCATAAATTCGTAGTAGTTATTAATCTTTTGTCCGGTATTAACTCCCTAATATAATTGTAATAGAATTATAAAGGTATAACAAAATGTTCAGAATGAGATAACATATTGATTTCGGTGGCTTATAGTATATGTAGCTTGAGTCTTACAAGTTCCAAATTGCTATTTCAGACGGGAAAATTACGCTAACAAAACAGTAGTAACCAATTTAAATAGAAACTGTTACTTGGTACAAAAATCAAGAGCTATTAGATTGTGAAATGCATATCATAAAATAATAGTTACCGTCTCCTTATTTATAATGACATAAAAAATACACCGAACTAAGAGTTTTTTGATTGTCATACAATTGGAATATATTTTCTGATCTTAAATCTTGAAAAATTAAATCTCAGTGTGAATTTTTTAAAAAGTCGATTTTTTTTTGTCGCATTATCGGATACTATACACTATAATAAACATACTATCAAAAATCAAAAGAAAAAATTTAAGTCGATATTCAAAGTATATCTCGAATCTTTAAACGCGTTTTTTAAAAAACGAGTTTCGAAGATATCTAGTTTCAATTTAGAGCGAACATTTTTAACGTCATTCTCAATCGCATTTTAGAAGATTTAGTTATTAGTCACAAAATGAGACAGTTTTTTTTTACAATGGCAAAAAGTGCATTTCAAGTTTTAATAAAAACAATGTTTTCTGATGATAAAAACACCATTGTTGTAAGAGTTGTTAAGGTTTACAGTAAATCTTTGGTATATAACTAAGCGTTACTAGGTTGATTGAACATGTCCTGAAGTTATTAAATAAAGTAAGTTTGCTATGAAGTTTGTAACGCGCAGAACGATACGTCGAAGACCCTACAGTATATTTAATGATCAGTGTGACGATCGGAGTCGATTGAGCCATGCCGTACGCGCACTAATCTCTCAGCTTTAGAGATAACAATCGGAAGTTTTACACTCGTTCATTACTTTCGAACAATTAGAGCATATAGCTGTCATACACACTGAACGAACAAATTTAAGTTCATTTATAATTAGGTTTAGCCCAAGTGAATGGCGCYYAGAGAGATTTTCTCAATTGCGTGAACTTTTAGACATGAYTCTATCCTTCAAATTGTCCAATAAAAACTGGCTAACTGAGGTTGCGAAAAACGTGATATGTCTGATTGACCAATCAATTATATCTTGGACTATGATGGATACAAGTTGAGGAATTGCAACTAAATTCTCAATGAAAGGATGGATTATTCAAACCAAGATCACAATCATATTCTGTCACAATATATTCTATGGACAAAAAATTAAACCGAATTATGGTACCGTTTAAYGAAATTTAAGTTTTGTAAAAATAAAATGTATTTTCTGAAGCCACATAGGTATGTTTCTGCTCTGACCCAAAGTTCATTTCATAATCAAAAACCGGTGAAATTAAATTCCGATAATAGTGCGAATGATAGTGGCACTCTTAATACGGAGTTTACGAAACATAGTTGAATAATATTACAATACATTACCATAATATAGTTTTATTTAATATATGGTATTAAAAAGTAAGGAAAGGGTAAGTTCGGGTGTAAACGAATATTTTATACTGTTGCAACTTGGAGGAATGAAAGCCAGGGAAATAACTTAAGATYGAAACGAGATAGGTACTAACTGTATGAGAGCGGGCTAAGTAACGACTCCATTTTATCTATTTTTGCTTATCCCACATACTTTTTATATGCCAYATACTCAAAAAATATTCCCTGGGCTTCATTAAGGTACCTTACATACAATCCTACTATAATRATTAGTGGCCTTTCGTCTCGATTTTGATGTTTACCTTAGTATTATGCAACGAATAGACACACTTTGTCTTAAGTTGAAAATCATCTTCGAGTATTTTAATATCCTTTACGAGATTTTCAATGTCTATAGACATCCAAGGTGTTTAAAATATAATTAAGTTACCATATTAGCTATATGAATGCATGAATGCTTAACATAAGATATATGGATACATTTCTGAATTTAACCGTCTGATTTTATTCTTCGCCACTTTTTGAAAACAATAATACAAAATAACTTTAATCTTTATTTTCAGATATTTAGTTACGATAAGAACTTTTTCCATTCACTCGAAATACTAGTTATTTATAAAGCTATCAGTCTGATTGTAATAAACGACAAAAGGCGTCAGACCTTTTCAAAATATATAATATGTTCACTAAAAATAAAAGGACACATATATATACCAAAAAACGGATGTGTAGAAATCACCACATAATCGACAATGAAGCCCAAAAAACTGTCGCTCAATTGTCTAGAAGTACAAAAGTCATTCGAATTCAAAATTTTAAATATCGTGATAAACTGAAGATTACTACAATGTTAGTCATAGCTTTCTATTTAGTATTAAGCAACGTTTGTGGCATCAACGCGCAAACTCGCGATCCACGGTTCTTTTCACGACCCGGCGTCAATGATTATAATTGGCCGAATCCAGGTGATCCAGATTACAGGTAAAGTACAAATCTAGCTAAAAATAAAATAATATAGACTCTAGTTAACCGCTTTTAATTATCTAGAACATACATATTTAATGATCGCCGGTATGGACATTACTTACCTAACGGTTACGGTACGAACTATCCTGGTAGAAATTCACCTGGGCAATATCCACAGGGCATGCCCAACGAAGATCGATTTCGATTTGATCCGGTAAGTCGTTACACCATAGATGAAAGAAGATTTTTATCGACAAGTTTAACGAACAGGACAGACATTATTACCTCGCGAAAAAACCTCAGGAAATTATCTACCATAGATAAATTTAATTCTGGGAGGTTAGTGATATAATAGATAATCTAATAATAATATTATCAAATTTATGGGTTAAAATGATCCTATAGGTACTTGSAGAGAAAAATTTCCCTGAAAGGCATAATTTTTAGCTTAATAATAAAAGGTAATTTCAATAACAATTCACGTGTTATATTTTTATTAATTAATCCTCATTGCATTTGAAATCTCACCTGCTCACTCCCCATATAACGCTACTGTTAAAAACTACTAAAACAGCGATAAATCAATAACTAAATACGCAAGACGCTTCATGGGAGCTGGTGTGAAAATTGGACGATGGGCGTGACATCGCCCACTTTTTGGTGAAATCCCATATCTCGGGATCCGCTCACCAATTTAGACAAAATTTAGTACGTAGCATTCTTCTTAATTTCTTAAATTCGTATATCAAATTGTTGATCAATGTGTRATACATATAAATAAACTTAAAAGATAATCGTTTTATTAAAATGGTATGTCTGTATGTCAAAAATGGGTTGAATCGGGTCAATACTTCCCTTAGCCYCCATATACTTAATACAAAGAGTTTCGAACTTCGRGGTGACTTTGTACAACATATATTGGCCAATATGTGAGTTAAAATATATAAATATGAGCGAAARCTTGGCTTGGCCTCTACRTAACTAATGTCAGGATTTTCGGCTGACTTTACTGTACATATTAAAGTATTTAATTGGCTTTGCAAGTTGCAAGAGTATAAAATGTTCGATTGCACCCGAACTTAGCTATTTCTTACTTGTTTAATTTGTAATCAANTTAAAGTATTTAATTGGCTTTGCAAGTTGCAAGAGTATAAAATGTTCGATTGCACCCGAACTTAGCTATTTCTTACTTGTTTAATWTGTAATCAATTTTTTAACGGAGCAGTTGACTTTTTTTATTTTATTTCTTTTGTTAGATCCTTACCATTTTCATGTGTGTATTAATGAGCTCTTGCAGATCCGTTGCATCATTATAATTCATCTTTCTGCTTTCATTTTTTCCGAGAATCCACTTCTGGTGTTAAATATCTTCCCATACACATATATAATTGGTCATTACCATCATCACACTATCTATGTCCCAATTTTTAATGCCATTTACTCTGAGRACCCCATGGACAAATGAATTTAGGTTATAATTAGATTTCCTATTCCATTTTATAACCATTTTTGCAAATGGTAATTTTTACTCTAATGGCATACACCCGYATACAAATATTAACGTTAAACATATTAAGTTTTCAGTGTCAAATTAATTCAATTAGCAAAGACAGAAACACAGTTTTACAACAATAAAGATATTKTGTGTATTTATAGCATATGGATGTATGTATATAATAAAAAAATTATACAGCTGCTCAGCAATTACTGTCAGCGAATTAATAGGATTTTCTAATAGTAAATTTCATGTATGTACATAAACTTCAAGACTCTTGCACGTAGGCATAGTGTATTTGTGTTTTAACGAAACAATACAGCTACAAAACTGTAGCTTACTGATAGTAGTGATAAYCCAAGATTGATTTCAAATTTATCAGTATATGTACATATATTACAAGTAGTATGCCRAAGTTTTCTCATTCAACTTCTAAATTTGTCTAACTGTGTACTAATGTGGGCAAAAAATAGCAAGACTTTTTAATTTAATAGTATATATATATTTTTTTTAGGGTGGTATGACTTTCAGTAAATCTGTGCCAAAAATCACATCAAGATAATCATTAGTGTTCAGTAAACGCTTGTCATTCTAAAGTACATAAAGTGCATTCGGCGATTTTTACGATGAGTGATATCGTTCAACAAAGAAGTTCTATTAAATTTTGTGTACGGTCTGGAGCCGAAAGTGTTTTTGACATCTTACTGGTGTCGTCAGTGAAAACCATTTTGCAAAAGCAAAAGTAAAAAAGTGAAAGCACGATTTTTTACAAAATCATTCAATGTTTTTGGAAAACAGCGTCGCGAAGCGTASGTAAAAATATGTTGAAATTATGGACAGTCCTCTCTTGGTTTTTGAGTCACGATAATGCACCGTCGCATATTGCAATTGATCATCATGAGTTTTTCGCGAAATTTTCAAGTAATATCGTGCCGCAACTGTGACTTCTAGCTATTCAGCAAAATCAAACGGCCGCTCCGGAGAAACCGTTTTAAGTTAATAGAAGAAATTACTGTCCGCAATGTAGGCTATTCCGGAAATAGATGGGAAAATCGTACAAGTGTATTGGGGCCAAGTTAGATAATTTGAGGGGAGCCGACATAGAATTTAAAGAATTAATTAAAAAAAAAAATTAATTATGAACACTTACCATTTTTTGCTGATTATTAGTTTTTGATTACTGTATCATTTTTCAGGCAAAATACAATAATATAATAGATAAAGGGTCAAAGCCGAATTTATGAAATACTTAAAAATTATATAACATAATTTTGTATATTGTGTTAAGCTTAGTTGAATTCTTCGCTTTCTGATATTCCAAGTTATTTTAATTTAACTGACAAGTGCTGATTGAAAGTGGCAAGACGCCTTAAAATGATATATATATATATATGAAAAGCTTTTCCCTACCGAATACATAATGTTTGCCATTGTCTTACTAGGCATCGACCCAGGTAAGGCGAAAATTGCTGATTTCGTCAGTGRTATGATTTCCTTGCCACTCAGAGGCGCCACTTTATTTTCTGTAGACGTTAATATGATTCTATCTATTTTTCAAACTTATGAAAATGGACATTTGTTATGTTTGACACTGAGCACAGCATATATGAATGATTTTAATTTGGAAATTGAAATAATTGAACCGCAGATCAATGAGCCATTTGATCCCGTTCATCATGAAATGCTTAAAATCTATGACAACTTAATGATTCATACAGCAAACGTATATACACAATTTAGTATTTACACATAAATTATTTGGATATTCATCATTTAATTAACATTCATTATACAGAATAACMCGAATGCAGCGCATACGCCCTTCCCTGGAATTTTGGCCGGCTGGCGTGAAGATTTACAGGGCAAACAACGACGTGACTCGCTGACATTAGATCGCGATGTATTTGTCACGACCAATTATGGCCAAGTGCAGGGCTTCAAAGTTTACATGTATGACAACCCTGATCCCAAATCATTCTACAGGCCATACCATTCAACTATCGATCGGGTGATGGGCGAATGTTCGGTTTTCTTGGGCATTCCTTACGCCTTGCCCCCCACATTCGAAGGTCGCTTTAAGCCACCTCGCTTGCACCGTGGATGGCAGTTGTTACAAGCTGTTGACTATGGACCTGCATGCCCACAACCGGTACGGTACACTGGCGCTACCAAGGGTATTATGGATATGGATGAAGACTGCCTTTACTTGAATATTTTTTCCCCAAAGGTAAGCATCTGTCCTAGATGCATTAACATACTTATAAATATGTATGTACATACTCGATTTTTTACAGACTGGTGCTGGCGTCGCTCAAAAATATCCCGTTATGGTGTATATTCATGGAGGAGAATTCGTGCATGGCGCTTCGAATCACTTCCAAGGTCATATTCTCGCTTCCTTCTATGATGTGATTGTTGTGACTATAAATTATAGGCTGGGTGCGCTTGGCTTTTTATCCACCGCTGATGAAAACTCGCCTGGCAACTATGGCATATTAGATCAAGTTATGGCGCTGAAATGGATATATGATAATGTTGAATTCTTCAATGGTGATCGTGATTCGATTACATTGTTTGGTCCTGGTGCAGGAGCAGCCTCAGCTGGGCTGTTAATGGTTGCACCGCAAACTAAGAACATTGTGAAAAGAATTATTGCCCAATCAGGTGCAGCCATGGCCGATTGGGCGCTAATTCAAGATAAATATCGTGCACAGAATACCAGTCGTGTATTGGGGCAACTACTAGGCTGTTCCATCGAATCGTCTTGGAAATTAGTAAACTGTCTACGCACTGGACGCAGCTTCTATGAGCTAGGCAATGCGGAGTTTCCCCCCCAAGTGGGCACTTTTGCTTGGGGTCCAGTTTTGGATCACAATTTCACAATCCCTGGTGATGATTGGTATGAAGGTTGGCGAGAAAAAGACTGGCGGTTCCTTACACAAACGCCAGAAAGCCTCATACGTCAGGGTCACTTTAATCGTGGTATACAATACATGACGGGAGTGACGACGCAAGAGGCAGCCTTTTTTGTAGCACAAAATGAATCGTTAGCACCTTATTATGAAATCGATGGCAATTTTTTTGATCAAAAAATCCGCGAACATGTCTTTCGCTATAATTACACACTGAACCCAAACGGCGTCTATGAAGCCATCAAATATATGTATACCTATTGGCCAGATCCGAACAATAATTCCATAATACGTGATCAATACATTAATATGCTTTCCGATTTGTACTACCGAGCTCCGGTTGACAAAATGGTAAAATTACTTTTGGAACAGCGAATACCAGTATATATGTATGTTCTAAATACCACTGTGGAGGCTTTAAACTATCCACAATGGCGCAAATATCCGCATGATATAGAACACTATTTTCTTACCGGCGCACCTTTCATGGATATTGAGTTTTTTCCAAAAAGAGATCATTTACAGCGGAATGTGTGGACCGACAACGATCGCAACATGAGTCATTTTTTCATGCAAACCTATTCAAATTTCGCTAGATATGGGTAAGTCACCATTTTATATATATAATAAATATATTTCCATCGAAAATATCAATAAAAGGTGATAACTTTGTAAAATCTCTCTTTCTTTTTCCATGATGTGCTTTCAATACTCAAATTGTTTTTAATAATGTACATAAATATATATGTAGATGTAAATGATAAAATTATATTTATTTGATTAAATTCTTTTACAGCAATCCAACGCCTCAACAAGTATTAGGTTTGCATTTCCAACGTGCCTACCAAGGTGAACTCCGATATTTGAATATTAATACCACTTTCAACTCATCAATTATGCTCAATTATCGCCAAACTGAATGTGCATTTTGGACACAATATTTGCCAACAGTAATCGGCGTGTTGGTGCCTACTTATCCGCCCACAACAGAATTTTGGTGGGAGCCTAAAGAGCCTTTGCAAATTGCTTTTTGGACTATGTCCGTAGCATGCTTCTTCCTCATCGTTTTAGTGGTGATCTGTTGTATTATGTGGCGCAATGCCAAAAGGTAAGAAGATCTCTATAATTTTACATACATAGGTAAATCGATTTCTCCGGTTAAATAATTCCACAAGAGATGAAATGATCTGATTTCCCTACGGCAGTATATCCATCCGCACGTCTGATGGTACAAAACATATTTGGAATTATTTCAAAAAACTTGATAGTTATGCGTGTCAACGAAACGCAAGTCCTAGTGCAAACTATGCACCGTGATAAACAAAACCTACTTTCGTTCATGAACTCACGAACTAATGTTATATAAAAAAATGAATCGCRAAATGTGTTGCTAAGCGCATAACTCATCAACGCCTGGATCAATTTGGCCAATTATTTTTTTTTAAATGTTCGTTGAGGTTCAAAGATGGTTTGTACGGCAAGAAAAATTCGAATAATTGCCGGAAACCTCCTAAAAATATACAAACGAATTAATGTTTGTTTATTAGTAACGCTAAGAGAACGACTGAACCAATTTTGATTAACTTTTCAGAAGTTGTTCTGTGTCGATCGGGAAAGGTTTAGAAAAAAAAAAAACATGTATGCTTTTCGTGAGGAAAAGGCGGAAAATGGGAAAATCCCAAAAAGTTACTTTTTTCCATACAATTTTTTTAAATTTTTTTAGTTTTATTTTTCAATTATTTGAATCGTTCAAATTTTTCGTTTGCTTCCAAAATTTTTTAAAGTTGCACACAAAGTGATCAATTGCAGATTGAAATTTGTTACGATGGCATGAAGAGGTYGCGCTAATATCGGTCCACGTTCTTTTGGCATCAACATACATTAGCAGCCCAAGGCACRTGACCGAGTACTCCCAGGAAGCGATAACATACGTGCGGTATTATGGATCACGGTCAATCAGCAAGCGATCATCACGATGTACTCTGTTGAGTGGCAAAAGAGAGGTTAGCCGCGCGCGCACATTATTCTTTGGATCAAATTGATGAAATCATTCATCGAGTCATACGGAAATTCCTGATGCCGAGAAAGATCCAGTATTATACGAAGTGATGAAAACCAATATGGTTCACCACARTTGCAATGTATGTCTGACAATAAATGCAAGAAACAGTATCCACGTACCTTTCTTTCGGAAACACAAACTAGAAATGATGGATATCCATTCTATCGGCGTCRCTCAYCAGACGAYAATGGCAAAACATTCAGCATTCAATTTATAAGAGTGAATATCGAAGTTGACAATATATGGATCGTACTATATTCACCATTATTGTCTAATTCACATTCAAAACTCATATCAATGTTGAGTATTGCAGTTTGGTGTAATCGATAAAATACATGTGTAAGTATGTACGTTACCAAAGAAAGCAACATGTCGGTTTTTGGTCTTGAACGATACGGTCGATATGTGAACTACATAAAGCGCTTTGTAGGATATTTACTTTTTAAATTCATGCGTCTCGAAGTTAATTTGGAGAACGGCCAAAGAACCAGGGAATACAGTACAGCCAGTGGAAACACCGCCAGCAACCAAATTAACATTTACGAGTTTTTTCTCAATTTTCGTCAATTATCGTATACGCTAAGAATTGGAAATGGGTCAATACCGGTTGATACTTCCGGTGGTTTGAATCAATACCATATGCCGTTTATCAACTCACGAGAGATGAACTTATCACGAAGATTTAAACGAACATTGGCCAACTTATCCTAAGTACGATTCCTTGAGTGCACGTGCAATCTTAGCTGCCACAAATACCGATGTTGTTGAATTAAACTAGAATATTCAAAGTCAAATTCCGGGAGACTTGCGCTCATACAAAGCGATAGATCGTCTTGACAATGAAGACAACGCCGTAAATTATCCAGTCGAGTTTCTAAATTCTTTGGAGAGGCTTAGTATGCCACCGCATCATTTGCGTCTCAAAGTTGGATCTGTCGTTATTATGTTTCACCACCTGCAAGCACCTATCGAATACAAGGGGTCAGAATGCATGATTGTACGAATTCCTTTGAGTTCTATAGATTTGCCATTTGAGTTCAAACCTATACAGTTTCCAAAAAGTAATTGCATTTGAGATGACAATCATCAGGACACTAGGATTGTCGCTAGAAATGTGTGGCATAAATTTGGAAATGCTATATTTTTCACACGGCCAAAAATACATGGCATGCTCACGAGTTGAAAACTATCTTCTCTGTACAATTACGCACCGGAACAGAAGCCAAAAACTGTTGTTTATCAAGCTGTGTTACGTCGAAAAAAATATATAATATATTTAACTTTCTTTTCATTTCAAAACACATAATTTAACGCAAGACAACGGCTGCGAGGTCAGCTAGTGTGAAATAAAACCGTAAAAAATAAAGGAACTAAATAGGCGAATTCCCTTTTTCTTGCATTTTATACTTATACTATCTCTTGACACCGGCTCTGGTTTAACACTCTAGAATTGTATTGAATTAAACAAGAAGTTATTACTCTTTATTTTAAAAATTGTATGAATAATATAATAATATAACAATCGAAGCCGTTTCCTTTACTAGAAAATAAAATTCGGACAATAACCAAACACACTTCTATATAATACATATATCATTATTGTCCTAAACCATAAAATAAGCAAATTAGTACTGGAATTAATTAAGTATAATTTTATAATAATGTAATTTTATAGTAATGTGAATAACCCACTTTTATGAAAAATTTAATAACAAGTCTGATCACAACCAAAACTAATTACCAACTTCCATATATCACCGATTTGATATCAAAAAATAATAAGACCGATTCACATATTAACAAAGCTTAGTAAGTTTTCCATCATTATATWCCTATAATTTATGACAGCATTTCATGTTCATCCTATTTTTATTATTATTTTGCTTTAACGCAGGCGATCAGATTTTTATGATGACGATGTTTTTATAAATCCTGACGGTACAGAACCGCCTGATGACGAGCAAAGCGGTGTAGACAATGCACACATGGTAGCCAATCATCACGCGTTACGGTCCCGCGATAATATTTACGAATATCGAGACTCCCCGTCATCCAAGACGCTTGCGAGTAAAATTCATACCGATACAACATCTGTTCGATCTCCCAGCTCGTTGACTATGACACATAAATCGGGAAGCCAATCGTCATTAAAATCGGCGATTTCATTAAAGGAAACAAACGGTGACACATTGACCAGTAACTTGAGCAATACTCGCACCACTCGTCCGGTTGCTCAAAATAATGGTGTTGTCTCCATCACACAACAACCAAAAAAAATCGAAGAAAAAAGGTTATTAACACGTGAGGGAGTAACACCTACACCAATATCGAGTACTCCTTTAATAACAACAACAACTGCCACGATTTCAGCCGCATCAGAGTCTGGAAGTTATAAGCCTAAATCTACTGTAAACATACCCTCCACAAGCACAGCACCCAGTAGTGCCGGCACTGGCACTAGTCGTAGCACAACGCCTGTGCCCAGCACACGTACACTCCCCACAACAACTATATTAACAACGGCACCGCAGTTGCAACGCTTAGGACAAATGACGACATCTGCTCAATCGCAGACAAAGCCTCAAGCCAGAACACAAGTTATTGAAGGTGTGCCACAAACATCTGTTTAGGAGATACATATATCAATAGGTGGGGGCGACGGTCAGTTGTTATAGATAAAGCTATTGTAACAATCAGTTAGTGATATAAAATGGTTTGATATTTCTATATGTATTATTTAATATGCAAACATTTCTCGATAAAATATGACATTTGATTAAGGTTTGTTTTAATGGAACACTAAAAAAACTAAAAAGCCCAGAAGCTTTCCATTATTTAAGTACTAAATAAGGCATAAAATCATTTAGTTATTCTGATAACATATATATTCATATATAACCTGCTTTATGACAATTTTTGTATGAAATGTGTTTAAAAAAATTATTTACCTCCTACATATTTACTGTCACTAGGAGTATTTATACTTAATTATGCAGTAGGAGTGTTTTCCTTCACCATCTTGCATTTGGGACTATTTAGAATCTAAGCAACGAATCTATCGCTTTTGTGTATTAAAATTAGCACATGCATATGTACATATATGTATATCCGAACAACGACATTACAGCTACATATACTTACATTTCTGAACAAAACCTTTACACCTTTGCTTTTGCTTTCAAGCTGTCTCTTATACACATCTAGATGTGTATAAGAGACAGATATATATATATATATATTATTATTATTATTATTAATATTCCAACATTTGCATTGTTTCCTACATTCCGATACAGAATTTATTATTTTTCATGGCAGTATATTAAACTATCTATATAAATTTAACATCTATATGGCATTAGAAAGATACAAATTTTTACTAAAAAAAGAAAAAACGTGAACTTTTCCACCTTTACAAATACAAATAATAGAAGCTATATAATAAAAGTTTTCCATATAAGAACTTGACTCCAACCGTTCAGTTTGTATAGTAGCTATAGTGGTCCGATAAAYGGCAGTTCACACAGTGGAGAGAAGCTTCTTGGAGAGAAAAGAACGCCGGCAGGTAATTATCTACTATCATTTGCTTCACTACAGCTAAACCTATAGATCGGACCTGTACCATTAAAAAATTAAAAAATTCTATTAAAAACTAATAGATAAATTTTTATGAGACCATATAAAAGGCAACTTTTTATTTTTGAATTTTTATAAATAATATATATATTTTCATAAATAAAACATATTCCATTGAGATAAAGTTCTTATTAAATCTGTATGATATATTAAATTTGCTTTAGATATGGGCAAAAGTTTAAATCGACGTCAAAAACTACATATGTGTAAGCAGAAATATTATTTTTAATATAAGCAAACTTCTAATATTAATACTACTACATATTAATTAATAAAGGTAATTTTATCGGGCTTGCGGTAAGAATTTTACTATTTTTCTCGAGCGAATATTTTGACTTAGTAACAATTTTTATCTCATAAGTATGTTGTAAATTATTTACATTAAGAAATATACCAGAGTATTAGTATAAATATAATTATTTTAAGTGGTTTATCTACGAGCTTGTAGTGATCAACACCATCAGTGTAATCCGTCCAATATACCATAAGCGAAGAAGTGCCTCAGTTTACATGCAAGTTTCTTTTTAATTGTTTTTGTTTGTGTAAATATGGAACAGAACTTTAATGCATAACTTATTACGAAGCGTTATTCCGAAAAGTTTATATGTTTTATTTTTAAAATGTATGTATGTATGTATGTACTCAGTTCGTATTTCTTTTTTCTCATTTAGACAATGTTTTTACAACATTTTATATGTTTAATAAATTGTAATTGTATTTGTATGCGTCTAACTTGTGCTGTATTCCTTTATATGTCTATCTATACATATTTCTGTGTACACTAAGTATGTACATATATAGTACATAAATATACACTTGTGCTTGTATAATTTAGTCACGCCACTAATAGATAGAAAGTTTATCCRAGCAACTTTTTTAGTACCGAAATGAAACTTAATTTTACACGGAATGGAAGAAATTTTAATTAAGTTCAAAACAAAGTAAAATAGTGCTACGGAAACCGGGATAAAAGATATTTAAGTTATCTCTATGAAAATTACAAAGCATGTTTTACTCATAACAGTGTATCTTGTGACCTAAACCCATATACATAACTAATATCACTATTTTCGAACATTCGGCTGACTTTACTCCATATGATTGGTGATTTCCCTGGCTTTGAATTCTGCAAGTTGCAAGAGTATAAAAGTCCTGCTTTACTTGTTTCTATCTAACTTTTAGTCCATCAAAAATGTTGTGCTCATATTATTAAATCAACTGAAGAAACATGTAGTTAATATTACACCTTAYTTAACTTACCTAAAGTTGGATATCTTTTACTTGTATTACTTCTTCGGCACTGTTTTGACTAAAGTAGCACATTCAGCGGGACTGATTTTGGCCAATCCAAAAYTTTAACATTTCGATTAATTATCCAACTTTGGCAATATTTTGATATTTTTGAAAACAATCCCATATTGCCTTAATAAATAGTTAGTATTATTTACGTATATAAATGCAGCATTATTCGTAAATATTAAAATTCCTATTTTAATGTACATACTTATGTATATATGTACCTACTATACGTGGCTGCCAGTACCACCCTAAACTTGTAGAAACTGTACAGAATAGTTTTGTTTCTACACATGTCCATGTATCACTTGAAAACCTCTCACCTAAATTTGATTTGTGTATTAAAAAACAGCCAAATATTCCCGTCTATCTTCATAAAATGAACCATTTGAAGATGGCCAGATGTTGTTGGTAGAAAATCCGAGCTGTGCCGAAAGAAACTAACAAACAATCGGCGATTGTTACCGCTTTCCTTGCTGCTCGAACAGCTTCGCCAACAAGCTAGCGTATATACATATGTACACATATGTATAAGTTTGCATACATATCGACGCGAGCCACGGAAAAATATTTTAGAATTGATAAATAATGTAAATCGACAACAGCTAAGTTGCCACTTTTCTCACTTAGAACAAACACCAGAAAGGTGTTCATTTTATAATTTTTAGCTTTTGCCACTGTCGCGAAAAGACGCTTGTTGCCAAAGGCATGCTCGGGGAGATGTTACGGCGTCTGTATTTATGAATGAAGCGAGGTCGCTTGTGGAATTTGCGCATGCGTTTATGAATGAAATCGTTTTTGTTGTAAAAKTTACTACATTTGGGCTTCGCCAATTCGGCTGCCATATTGACTTGGCGTGCTTATGCTATTTGAGACAGATGTTGAATGAACATACATATGTATATAACAAACTATAACAATATATTAAATACATTAAATATATTACAATAGTGTTAAATGTACATAAATCGTATATTTTATCAATCAAAACTTATGTATTTCAAATCATATTATCACTTATCCGTAATAGCAAGTCCGCGCTGCTCATATGTACATACATAAATATGTGCATATGACATCGGCACAAATAACGCATATACAAACCCACATACTTGTATGCATATGCGTACACATGTAAATATGTATGTCACCCCCAAAAACTACAAACATTGCTTTATAAAAGCAACAATCGTTTGAAATAGCATCATACATA